CGCCATTGAATGCTCTTAATGTTTGCCAGGACCAATCTCTGAAAAAGTTGGATCAACTGTTACAATGTTGTCTTGCTGACCTTTCTGCTAGAGCAGTGTGGTTCTCAACCCTGGCTGCACCTTGGAATTAGCTTTAAAACAAACAAAAAACACACAACTTTTTCCTGGGCTCCACCCCCAGAGTCTGATTTAATTACTCTGTTCTGTGGCCAGGATATGGGTAATTATTTTTTAACTCCCCAAGTGATGTTAATGGACAAGCACTGCTCTAAGTAGAGTACAGGCTTATAACCTACACCAAGCTCTGCTCTTCAGACCTTAAATCACAAAATATTTCATTCTACAAAAAAGAGAGAACAATTAAATGGCTCCAGGAGAGGAATTTGACTGACCTAAAGATAGTGGCATCTGAGCACTGGCTTCCAAAGTCAGATGACCTGGGTCAGATTACAGACGCTACCACTTACCAGCCAGGTGATCTCGGGCAACTAACTTCTTTAGCAGTGTGAAAGTACCTATCAGTCTGCCTGACATGTAACAGGTCCTCAATGTATATTTATTAACTCTGAGTAAGAATCTCCAAGCTTCATCTGTAAATTGACAGTAACAATATCTGCCTGCCTGTCTCCTAGAGTTGCTATGAGACTCAAAATAGGTAATGGCCTTACAGGACCTTTATCAACATTTAGGTGTTGTACAAATAGAAAGTATAATCATTCTTTTTCTTTGATGAAAATATTAAACATATATATACTATTTCAGTAGCCATGCTGTTGGCACATTGAGCAAAAGGAAAAGAAACCTTTCCCACCTCACCACCATCACCTTTGTTTATTACAATGTGCCACTTTTCTAATTTCAACATGAAAAAGTGAAAATGGCAACACTAAAGACTGATAGCCACAAGATGGCAGAGTTTACCATTTCATTTTTTTCTTGCTCACATTCATTCATTCATTCATTCAAGAATTATTCTTTGAGTGTCTACTATATGTATAGTGCTTTTCTAGAGATCCAAAGGATTATAAAAGAGGTACACAATATGAAATGGTTCCTGCCCTTGAGAAGCTTGGAGTGAGGGCAGTCTACAAAGAAGAAAAAAACACACCTAAGAACATTTAAAAGAAAATATACATTGATGTGTGATTATAAGCCAAATGAGTGATAGAGACTGCTGTATGACTTTACAGTAAGCCAGAAAGTCTGCGTGGAAGGGATAAGAACTGAGCTGGGGCTTGAAGGAGGAATAGATAGGTTGGAAAGAAAAAATAAGTTCCAAGCAAAGGGACCAGTGTGTATCATGTTTCTGAGGTAAAAATGAGCAAAGCATGCACCCAGGTCAGTGATGAGACTAACCTGGTTATAACAAACGGACATTGGGTAAACAAGATTGAAATTAATTAGATCTCCATTGATTTTGCTAGAATGATGCCCACCATAAAAGAAAAATATATCTATTAAGTCTGCCAATAACTATGGCCTCTGGGCAGGCAATTTGGTCAAGCTTCAGTTTTGTCATTCGTAAAATGCACAGGTTGGACAAGATGACTTCTTACAGTCTTTCCAAATCTTATAAAAGAAAAACACTGGGAGGCAGGCAGGGAGGGGGGGGTGGGGATGTAAGAAGGGAGAGAGGAGGGAAGAAAAGGAAGAAGAAGGGAGGGGAGAGGAGGAAAAAAGAAAACGGATTCTAAGTTCTTTTGCAATTGCTGTATGGCTTTGACATATTCCAGTTGCAAACATGAACAGTGACAGTCTTGTGTAGTGGTTAGGGCTTGGGCTCTCCTGTTAGATAGACTTAGTCCAAGTCTTGGATCACTTACTCTTTAACAGTAGGCAAGGTAGCTTAGACTCTAAAAGCTTCAGTCATTCATTCAACATGTACGTAACACTTTACTATATGTTAAGCCCTATGCTAGTCATTAGGAATAGGGAAATAAGGACAAACAAGATCCCTTCTCCAGAGCTTACAGTTTTGTAGGAGGGACGGACCAAAAATAATCACACAAAAAACTAGATACAAGTGTAATCAGTGCAAAAGTGTAGAGAGACAGGAGAGCAAATAACCTAAAGGTCTAACCCAGTCTGATAGATCAGAGGTTTTCCCCAAGGAAAGAGGGAGCCAGGCAAAGAAATGGAAAAAAAGCATTTCAGGTCAAGTGAATAGCATATGAAAAGGCTTTAAGACTAGGAGGAGCTTGGCATGACAAATAACTAAAGGGCAACTGTAGCTGGAGCACAGAGAGCTAGGGGCATACTGGCAGAGGACACCAGGATATGTAAGTCAATAGAGTCTGGCTGAATGTCCCAACCGTCCTAGGAAGCCTGCAGACTTTATGCTAAAGCAATGAGAAGTCTGTTTCCTTCTTCATAAAAGGGGATAGCAACACCTCGCTCATAGCATAGCCATGAAGATGAAAGGGCATCACTGCCCTCCTCCATCCCACACCTTATTGAATCTCTCACCAAGTTCTATCGGCACCACCTCCAAGAAATCTGCCACCTCCCAAACACATTTCCACCTCCACTGCCACAACCCCAGTCTAAGTTATCATCTCTAGCCTGGACTATTGCTCACTGGTCCCAACTTCCACTTTTGCTCCCCTCCCATCCATCATCCCTGCAACAATTCCAGAAATCTTACTCAAATGTAAATCTGCTCACGGCTGGCCTTTGCTTAAAACCTTCCAGTGACTCCTCAGTGCTCTCAGCATAGAGACCAAATCCTTAAGACAGATGCTAATGCTATTCCCCTCCCTGAGATGTGCATTTCAGCTCCACTCCCACCCCCTCCTCACCTACTTCATTGCAACTACCCTTCTCTTCTTCAGGGAAAGCCTTATCCTGATCCCAACCCATCATCTATTTCATGTTCTTTCGTTATTTGCCCACTAAGAATCATGTCCTTTCCCTTCCGATCTCTTATCTCTGTAATTACAGTTATCAGAGTGATTGTTTAATGTCTGTTTCTGCTACTAAACTATATAAGCACAAGAAAGCAAGAAACACATATTTTTTGCTTGCTTTTGTATCCCCAGAACCTTGCCCAATCTTTGGATATTATAGGAAGCACTCAATGAATATTTGTTGATTAAATGAAGGAGGTGTTAGCTACTGTTACAAATAAAATACTAATTATAATTGTTCTTTATTATTAAATTATATTAATTATTATAAATGTGCTATTTCATTTATAGTCCTCCCTACAGAAACCAACACAATAGTAGCACAGGCCATGCTGTTGGTCAGTAAATACCCTACCACCTTTTATTAGAACCCCTATTTCTATATTTAGGTAAATTATTATGGTCTAACTACAGTTACACCAAGCATGGTTATGAGACTCTGAAGTCAGACTCGACCTAAATCCTCATTCTGCTCTCTTTATAACTTCGAACAAGCTGGCCTTTCTGGGATAGAATTTGTTCTCAGACTCATGAGATTTTCATGAGATCATGCATGGAAAGTGCTTAGTACAGAGTCTGGATTATAACATGCACTCAATAATACACTGTTACATCATACAGATTGTTGATTAATCTGAGCAAGTACCTATTAAAATATACAGCGAAAGCAGAATATTGAAGGACCTGTGACAGCACGTTATCTCAGCCTGCTGGGGAGAAAAACTCCCCCATGATATACAAACCTGACTGAATCTTCCTGTAATCTTGAGAAATCAAGGGAGCTTTGAAGGAGGCAAGGAAGGCATAAGGTGAAATCAGGGGCCTCTGAGAATTAAAATGTAGTGTTTACTTTATCTGCTAATAAGTTATCTGGAATGCAAAACCAATGAAGTAAGCATATCTGGAATGCAAAACCAATGAAGTAAGCCCCAAAGAATTGGCTTCCTAAGGAGTAGCAAATGTCTGATACCAATATAACATTTATACTTAATCTTATGTCTTCTTCTTTGGACCTTTGTGTCCCTGATTTGCCAAAACTGATTACCTTGAGGAAACAACCGCCTGTGTCCTTTGTTTAGGGAACTTAGCTAATAACCAATTTTCCTCCACTCAAATGCTATCTAATGTGCTTAAGCCATTGCTGCTCCTTTTGATAGGTACCTCGAAAAAAGAGATCTTGGGGTAGGAAAAGCCTTCAGAATCCAAAGGATTGAATCTCAAATGGTAGAATCTAAGAAAATAAGATGTGTGATGCAGGAAATGGATTCAGGAAGAGCACATCACCCTGTGTTTCAAATCAGGCAGTAGTTTGATTCTGTCTGGAATCAGATGGATGAGGTTTCAAATCCAATTTCAAATCCTAAATCAGCAACATACAAGTTGGGTGACTCAGGTAAGTTAATTAAGTCCATGTCTTCAACTGTAAAATGGGGATAAGGATCTATCTTACCAGGTTGTTAGAAAGATTAACTGAGATGACATAAAGTCATCCAAGAAGAGTCTGGTATAATTTGAGTGCTCACATATTTTTATTATTTAATCACATCTGGTAATTAAATACAGGCAGCCATGGCCTATTCTTTCCTAAAACTATGATGGGCTCCTGCTGGAGAGTCCTGGGGCCTGTGTGGTTGCCCACCCTACTTGTATTTCAGGCACAGGGTGGATGGAGCATCAATGAGGGGAAGCCCAGACCTCTGGCCACTGGTCCCACTTGACTAGTAATACACATGGATGACACAAGGGGGGGGGGGATTTAGATGAAACTCGTATACCACCCCTCCAAAAAGTAAAAGCACAACTCAGTATAATTATGCCCAGATTTCTGCTGGGAGACTTTTGTACACTAATATTTTACATAAAAAACACTAGGTCAATTAACATCCTGAGAGCTTAAAGGAGTGGGGTAGTGAGAAGCTGGTAATTGGCAGGAGTTTTGATCTCTCCCACCCCCCACAACAACTACCATAATGCCTCAGACACTACCTCCCTCCCCAGCAAACTTCAGTTTTTCAGACGCCTTCGGTCTGTTCCCAGAAACCTCAGGTGGTTTCTGCATTTGTTGACCTTAAAAAACAAAAGAGCCAGTTATTTTACCAGCAAAATGAGTTTATTCAGAAATAGCAGAAGAATGATACTTCAAGACAAGCAAAATAAGGCAGACCCAGAAAACAGGAGAGGGGCTTAATTTACAGGGGAAAAGAGGAAGTTGGGAGGGGCTGTTTCACTGAGTTCTTACTGGCTGGGCTGTTGCTGGGCAAGAAATTCTTCCTTCCTCTGTCTGGGGTACATAAAGTAAGCTGCTCTTACTGGGAAATGTGAGAGGCTTCTTACAGCAAGTAATAATACATGAGAGCTCCCCCTTCAGGGCTTCCTGACTCCATCTTAAATAAGGTTTCCTTTATTTTGACATTTCTCCCTTTCGATCAAGGTCTTTCTTCAAAAAGGATTCCTAATCAAAAGTCAGGGTTGTGCTGGGTTTGTTTTTGTTTTTTTGTTGTTGTTGTTGTTTTTCATATTTAGTGGATTTGTCCCCTTGGTGTCAGAAAGGACTCTTCCTGGTTGTCATGTCCCATATCAGGGAAAGTACATAGATTGGAAATCCCTGAGGTCACATATGAGTATGGGGAAGGGTAGGAGGGAGAACTATCAGGCACTTCCAATCTGAGATAAATGTTGAAGATCATCTTGAAGTGCTAAGCTTGCATCATCCTATTTGGGCACATCGTTTCTACAAAGGTTTGAGAGGCAACAGATATAAAGCTTAAAAATGATTATACAGGTGAGCCTGGGTGGCTCAGCTGGTTAAGCGTCCAATTCTTGATCTCAGCTCAGATCTTGATCTCAGGGTCATGCATTCAAGCCCCACATTGGACTTTATGCTGGGCAGGGAGCCTACTTTAAAAAATGATCATACAGAGGGAATGCCTAGCTGGCTGTCAGTAGAGTTTATAACCCTTGATCTCAGAGTTATAAGTTTGAACCCCACATCGGGTGCACAGATTACTTAAAAATAAGATCTTTAAAAAAATAATTATATAGAATAAGATGAGAACTTCTGGAAGGAACCATCCCACCTAAAGGGGTCTTTTCTAAAAGCCTCGCAGGGGCACCTAAGTGGCTCAGTCAGTTGAGCATCAGTCTCTTGGTTTCAGCTCAGGTCATGATCTTCCAGTTGTGGGATTGAGCCCCAAGTCAGGCCCCACCCTCAGTATGGAGTCTGCTTCAGACTCTTTCTCTCCCCCTCTGCCTCTCTCTGCTTGCTTGCTTTCTCTTGCTTTCTGTCACACACTCTCTCTCAAATAAACAAAACTCTTTTTAAAAAGCCTTGCAAAGAGGAGTTAGCTTGTTTGTATTTCCCTTGGGTGCAGGGGAACAAATAATAAATAGGGAAGAATGAATCAAAATTTCTGGTGTCAGATCCAATAGTCAGAAAGGTTCTGCTTTTGCAATAGATTAGATCATGAAAGAAAGGGGAGAAATAAGGTTTAAGAACCAACAGCAAGAAATGGTATACAGGTCTGGTCCAGTCATCTTGAGAAAGCTGTCTCCTTTGGCTGTCTGCTTCAATTCCTGGAAATCTTTAATTCCAGGTATGCAGTTGGTGTGCAGATCTAATCAGGGTTTTGTGCTTCCTTAAGGTGTGACACATGGTGGGGGGATGCCTGGATGGCTCAGATGGAGGAGCATGCGACTCTTGATCTCGGTGTTATGAGTTCAAGCTCCACATTGGATGGAGAGATGACTTAAGAAGTTAAATCTTTAAAGAAAAAAGAAAAAGATGTGACACATGGCTCCAAGAGTCATTCCTTGGAGTTTGGCAGCACAGGGGTTGGTTAACAGTACCTGATAGGGGCCTTTCCAACAGGGTTCAAGAGGGTCTTTCTGGAGATATCTTTTCCAATAGATGAAATCTCTGGACTGTGATGTTTGAAGTCTTTGTCTCCGGGGAATGCACTGTGGAAAGATTGTTCTACTAAAGCATGGTTATTCTCAACAGAAGCAATTAGGTCTTTGCAATATTGAAGTATATCCCCCTTTACCATTTGTGGATCAGAAGAAGCAGGAGCCAACTACACTGGCCATCTTGTGATTATCTCAAAGGGTGAGAGTTTATAGGTTCCAAAGAGGTAGACCTAATAAGTAGGAAAACTAACATCAGGGCTTTTGGCCAGAGTATTTGAAGGATCTCTACAAATTTTGCTTAATGGTACCATTAGTATGTTTGATTTGCCCTGAGGATAAAGGGTAGTAAGCACAGTGGAAGTTTTGTAACAATGGCCTAACAGCACAAACCTGCTGAAGCAAGTCCCTTGGTCACTATGAAGTTTGAAAGGGGATTACCCTGGTAGGGATGATCTTTTCTAGTAGGATTTTAGCCACAAAAATAGTCCATTGATAAACATACAAATCATTACAAAGACATATTTATAGGCATGAGATGAGGGAAGTTGAATAAAACACTTCTTCCAAACTTTGGTCCATTGGGCATCTTAAAGTGTCCAGGAGCGGTGTAGACAAGTTTCCTTCAATTATATTTCAGGCAGGTGGGGCAAGCAAAGCAGTCACTCCATGGTCTTGTAAATATTTACTCACTAGTATTGGCTCAAAAGGTTTTCATTTTCTCAGCAGACCAATGACATGTACTCTAGTCAGTAATGGGAACTTTAGAGTCTCTGGCAGCACTGGATTATTATTTGGCCCAACCTAGAGTTTTCTTTTTTCAATCAAACCTACAGTCATTAGGTTTCCAATATTGTTTTTCCTTTCCTGGGGCTGATTGTTGGGCATCTCTAGTCAATTTTTCTAGATTATCATTTGAAAAGGGGAACATCCCTTTGGACCATGACAGAGATTTGTTTGTTGGTTCCTTTGAGAGCAGCATCTATTGTGGAAATATCAACAAGGTGGTTTCCTCTGGTTTCCAAAGAATCCAGTTTGGAATGCATAGGGACCTTGATAATGGCCAAAGCACCTGGCAAGAGTATGGCATCTAATAATTCCTGAACATAAAGGCCATTTTTAATTTTGTCCCCACTAGAAGTAAGGAAGCCTCACTGTTTCTATAGCATTCCAAAGTCGTTAGCTACTCCAAAGGCCTACCTGCTATCAGTATAGATATTTGCAGTTTTGCCCTTGGCTAAAATGTAGGTCTAAGCATGAGCATATAATTTAGCCTGTTAGGCTGAGATAGCTGAGGGCAAAGGTGCTGCCTTGACAACTTCAAAACAATTGTAATATAAGAAGTAGTGAAAGGGACCATAAGGCAAAGGAGGGAAACTGAGTGAGGGAAAATTAGAGAGGAAGACAAACCATGAGACTCTTAACTCTGGGAAACAAAGGGTTGCAGAAGGGAGGAGGGTGGAGGGATGGAGTGACTAGGTGACAGGCATTAAGGAGAGCACTTAATGGGATGAGCACTGGGTGTTATACTGTATGTTGGCAAGTTGAATTTAAATTTATTTTTTTTTTAATTTTATTTATTTATTTATGATAGTCACAGAGAGAGAGAGAGACAGAGACACAGGCAGAGGGAGAAGCAGGCTCCATGCACCGGGAGCCCGATATGGGACTCGATCCAGGGTCTCCAGGATCGCGCCCTGGGCCAAAAGCAGGCGCCAAACCACTGCGCCACCCAGGGATCCCTGAATTTAAATTTAAAAAACTTTTTTAATAAAATAAAATTTTAAAATGTCTAAAAATAAAAAATAAATTAAAATTTCTAAAAAAATTTTTTTAAGTTGTAATAGCATAGCCAACATAATATTTACTATTTTCACCTTTTAAATAAGAGCTCTTGGTAACCACCAAAAGTCTGCGTTATCCAAAGGCGTATTCTGTAAGCCATCATGAGGAGTCCAAGAGTCATGAGGAGTATTGGCCGCAAAGAAGGAAGAATGGTGGCAGGGTTAAGATTATTACAGCTAGAGAGTTTGGAATCCAATTTTGCACAGTAGCCAGCTAGCCTGAGAAAACCTTATAATTGGCATAGTTTGGGGAAGTTCAGGATGCCATGAAGCCTATTTGAATCTACATGTAGCCTTTGTTCTGAACTCAGGTGCTGCAAATATCAAACCAGAGTCTGAACAAACTGTAGTTTTTCCTTGGAAACTTTGTGTCCCTTTAAGGCTAACAGCCTAAATGGATGGATGCTGTCCCTGCAAAGACACCTGAGAAGGGGATAAGAGAAGCAAGCTGCCTAAGTATTGTAATAAAGCAGAACTTTCAGGTAATTTGGGAAAAGTAGGAAAGACTGAGCAAAACCCACGAGTATTACCCTCCAGGTACACTGCATTCTTTCCCCAAAAGGCAAAGGGATAATCGACTGGCTTTATCCACAGAGAAATCAATCACAGTGAAAAATTTGATGGAAAAAATAAAAGATACTGAAGGGTCATCTGATTCACCTAGTTGGCAATTTCAGTTGTTGCTATCAAATTCTAGAATTATCTCCCCCTTTCAGTAGGAAAAAAAGTCCAATACATTATTTTTCTAAGAAATCTCAGCCCCCAAAAATGAATGGGGCAGATGAACTAAGAAGAAAGGAATAAGTATCTCTTAAAGGAAACAAGAAGGAATTGGTTTAAAGATAGAAACCTGTTGAGTTTTGTGAGAGAGCCCCACAACTTGAACCATTCCAGTACTTTGAGCAGGGGCTGTTTAATAAGAGTGAGGATGAACACGGAGAGTGTAGCTCCAGTATTGATAAGGACACAGAGACATTCATCCCTAATCTAGAGAGTTTTTTCTCCAAGCTGGTGGAGAGGAAGGATTGGGAAGAGCGCCTGTAGTTCTTTGGAGTCCTGTAGCTAGGAGTTTGGAGGGACCTGGAAAGGCTTGTTGGAGGGCTGAAGGCATCTAGAATGCTTCCACTTGGCACGATCTTTCTTCCAATGTCCTGGTTTTTTGCAACAATAGCAGAGACCAAGATGGGGTTGGTTTTATTTCAGGGGCCCTCCATTTGTTGGAGTTGAAAATTAAGGATTTTAGTGGTCTTCCTTATAGTTGAATTCTCTGGGATGTGGGTGGGCCACATTGCTAAATTAACCGAATCTGAAGTAGACAGTTTCCCATTCCATCCTCATCCTTTAACTACAAGGGAAAAATCCCAGTTCAGCTCTTTAATGAACACAGAATTGAAGGGTACCTGAGTGGATTTGACATTCATAGAGAGGCCAGAATTTTCCTTAAAAATAATTTGGAGAGGACTGTAATAGTTGTGCACAGGTTCACTAGGTTTCTGAGTGCAAGCCTCAATCTTATTTCAGTCAACAGGTTTAGGAGAGCCCTAGAGACTGCCAGGTGAAGCTGTTTAGTAATTGCCCAGACTGATCATAATACAAGGCATGGGGTTGGTCTCTCATTTAAAGTTCTAAAGAGGGGGGTACCTGGGTGACTTAGTCGGTTAAGCATCTGCCTTCCGCTCAGATCATGATCCCAGGGTTCTGGGATCGAGCCTACGTCAGGTTCCCAGCTCACAGGAGAGCCTATTTCTCCCTCTCCCCTGTTTGTGCTGGCATACTCTCCGTGTGTGTGTGCGCGCAGACACACGCTCCCTCACTTGCTCGTGCTTGTTCATGCTCTCTCTCAAATAAATGAATAAAGTATTAAAAAAATAAAGTTCTAAAGATTTTTCAGGATCATTCCAATTAGCTGCTTTCATCCAGTGCTGGGCCTGGTCTTCGCCAACAAGTGTGTGAACTAGCTGATACAAATCTGAGGAACCTGGTTGGTAGGTCTGGATGACTGTATAAAATTCCTTGGCAAATCTATGAGGATCTTCAGTAACTCCAAGAAAATATTTGACTACAGCTCAGTTCAGCCTTAGTCCAGGGGACATGGGAAATTAGGGACTTAGCATCAGGATCCTCCGAGAGTAATTTTAAAGGGGCAGGTTCTACTGGGTTCAGAGAAGGGAGAGGTTGAGAAAAGGGGAAGCTTACTGTGAGAATCAGAATGAGGAAGCAGAGGGAAAAAAGATATAGGGCTGGAGAACAAGAGGGCAGGGGACAAAGAACCCTGAAAAGGTGATTTTTTTTTTTTTGCATTCTTTCAATTGTTTGTTCACCTTGGTTAATTTAAAATGGTATTTTATAAAGAGATGATTTTAGAGTCTTGGATACTCTTGGAAGCTTCAAGATATTAATTGAAATAGGTATCCCATTCAGTTCATTTTATTTTAGAGCTTGCTTATTTATTTATTTATTTATTTATTTATTTATTTATTTATTTATTTATTTTTATTTTAGAGCTTCTAATTTGGTTCTAAGAAAAGCAAGTTTGGGAAGATCAAAAGTTCCCCATAACAGCCACTGAGTCCTAAGTCATTTTTTGTTAAGTTGATCCAACTAGTTAAAAATGCACATGAGGAAGGACCATAGTTTTTAAATGTAAAACTGACTGGAATCCCAGAAGGAGGACCCTCCTGAGAGAATTAGCAGATTGAGAACCCATTACTCAAAACCAGAGATTCAGGAAACAGAAGAGTACTCACCAGGAAGGACGACACTTTCATAAAACAAACAAAAAAAAATTAAGCAGATCCCAAATAAAGTCGGAGAGCTCAACCAGAAGGAGGGAGCTCAGATCCGAGAGGAGACTTACCGAACTGAAAGAAAAAAGATGACTCACGGAAGCAGAGACAAGGCAATGAAGTGGGTACTTGACAGGGTTCTGGGGGTTGTTGGTTCCTTTGGGGTTCACCACCCTTGGGTCCCATCTGGATCACCATATAATGTTGACCTTCAAAAACAAAAGAGCCAGTTATTTTACCAGCAAAATGACTTTATTCAGAAATAGCAGAGGAATTACAACTCAGAACAGGAAAAGTACAACGAGTCACAGGCCAACCCAGAAAATAGAAGAGGGGCTTGCTCTCAAGAAGGGGAAAGGAAGGGACGCCTGTGTGGCTCAGCAGTTGAGCATCTGCCTTTGGTTTGGGGTGTGATTCTGGGGTCCTGGGATAGAGTCCTGCATCGGGCTTCCTGCAGTGGGGGGAAGTCATAAAACAAAAAAAGGCCTGCTTCTCCCTTTGCCTGTGTCTCTGCCTCTCTCTCTCTCTCTCATGAATAAATAAAATCTTTTTTAAAAATTAAAATAAAAAAGGAGGGAAAAGGAAGAAGCTGGGAGGCGCTTTTTTCCTGAGTTCTCACTGGCTGGGCTGTTGCTGAGCAAGGAGAAATTCTTCCTGCTGCTGGGGTCTTATAAGGTAAGCTGCTTCCTCTTGAGGAAGGTAAAGTATGCTTCTTATAGCAAGTGGTAATACGTGAGAGCTCCCCCTTCAGGGCTACCTCCCTGACTCCATTCTTAAATTTTTTTAAGATTTTTTTTTTTAATTTATTTGAGAAAGGGAGAGTAAGCACACGCAGGGGAGGAACAGGAGAGAGAGAATCTCAGGCCGACTCCTATTTAGCATGGAGCTCGACTCAAGGCTCGACCTCATGACCCTGAGATCATGACCTGAGCCAAAATCATGAGTTGGAAGCTTAACCAACTGAGCCACCCAGGCGCCCCCCCCCCACCATACTCCATTTTAAATGAGGTTTATTTTCACACATCCCACTTTAGAGCCTCTGAACTTTTCCCAAGTTCTTCCTCCCAATCAAAATGTACCTGTCTATTCCCTGAAGGCCATACTCTGTATCAGGGTTCAGTGATATAATTCAGGGTTAAAGCACACTAATATTTTGATGATTTTGTTTCCCACATGCCCCACATAAGAGTTTCAAGGAACGTATTATGAAGGATATTAAATCAGCAAATATTTTTTAGGGACCTAGTGTGAACCCAGCATGGGGCTAGATCCTATAGCACTGTATCAAGGAACAGAAAAATTACCACCAGGGTGCCTGGGTGCCTCGGTCAGCTAAGCATCAGACTCTGATTTCAGCTCAGGTGGTGACCTCAGAGTCGTGAGATCAAGCTCCACATCAGACTCTCTGCTTCTCTTCCTTCCTCATTCTCCCTCTGCCCTTCCCCCTGCTCACAATCTCTAATAATTAAAGTCTTTAAAAAATACTTTTTGAAAAAAAAAGAAAAGAAAAATCGCCAAAGTGGATCTACCCAGCATACAACCCAGTTGCTACCATTATCAACAAAAACATGCTCTGGAAAAACAGGGATGGAACATTTATACAACCTTTCTGGCAAGCTCTTTAGCCAAATGTAGAAAAAGCTTTAAAAATTTACATAATCCTTGACCCATAATTTTACTCCTAAGAATTTATACTAAGGTTGGGCAGCCCGGGTGGCTCGGTGGTTTAGCACTGCCTTCAACCCAGGGTGTGATCCTGGAGACCCAGGATCGAGTCCCACGTCAGGCTCCCTGCATGGAGCCTGCTTCTCCCTCTGCCTGTGTCTCTGCCTCTCTGTCTCTCTCTCTCTGTGTCTCTCATGAATAAATAAAATCTTAAAAAAAAGAATTTATACTAAGGAAGCAATCAGAGATATATAGAAAGATACAAGCACAATGATGTGTATTGCAGAATTATTGATAATACTGAAACAATCTAGGGGTGCCTGGGTGGCTTAGATGATTGTCTGCCTTTGGCTCAGGTCATGATCCCAGGGTCCTGGGATAGAGCCCTGAATCCCTGCTGAGGAGGGAGCCTGCTTCTCCCTCTCGCTCTGCTGCTCCCCGTTTGTGCTGTCTTGCTCTCTCTCAAGTAAATAAATTAAATATTTTTTTAAAACACTGAAACAATCTATCCAAAATAGAGGGCTAGGTAAATATTCATTCCGTACCCATATGATAGAATATTATTAAAGTCCTATTAATACAAGACTCTTTATTTATTTATTTTTCATTTTAATTGGAGTTCAATTTGCCAACATATAGCATAACACCCAGTGCTCATCCCATCAAGTGCCCCCCTCAGTGCCCGTCACTCAGTCACCCCCACCCCCCGCCCACCTCCCCTTCCACCACCCCTTGTTCGTTTCCCAGAGTTAGGAGTCTCTCATGTTCTGTCTCCCTCTCTGATATTTCCCACTCATTTTCTCTCCTTTCCCCTTTATTCCCTTTCACTATTTTTTATATTCCCCAAATGAATGAGACCATATAATGTTTGTCCTTCTCTGATTGACTTATTTCACTCAGCATAATACCCTCCAGTTCCATCCACGTTGAAGCAAATGGTGGGTATTTGTCGTTTCTAATGGCTGAGGAATATTCCATTGCATACATAAACCACATCTTATTTATCCATTCATCTTTCGATAGACACCGAGGCTCCTTCCACAGTTTGGCTATTGTGGACATTGCTGCTATAAACATCGGGGTGCAGGTGTCCCGGTGTTTCACTGCATCTGTATCTTTGGGGTAAATCCCCAGCAGTGCAATTGCTGGGTCGTAGGGCAGGTCTATTTTTAACTCTTTGAGGAACCTCCACACAGTTTTCCAGAGTGGCTGCACCAGTTCACATTCCCACCAACAGTGCAAGACGGTTCCCCTTTCTCCACATCCTCTCCAACATTTGTGGTTTCCTGCCTTGTTAATTTTCGCCATTCTCACTGGTGTGAGGTGGTATCTCACTGTGGTTTTGATTTGTATTTCCCTGATGGCAAGTGACGCGGAGCATTTTCTCATGTGCTTTTTGGCCATATCTATGTCTTCCTCTGTGAGATTTCTGTTCATGTCTTTTGCCCATTTCAGGATTGGATTGTTTCTTTGCTGTTGAGTTGAATAAGTTCTTTATAGATCTTGGAGACTAGCCCTTTATCTGATAGGTCATTTGTAAATATCTTCTCCCATTCTGTAGGTTGTCTTTTAGTTTTGTTGACTGTTTCTTTTGCTGTGCAAAAGCTTCTTATCTTGATGAAGTCCCAATAATTCATTTTTGCTTTTGTTTCTCTTGCCTTCATGGATGTATCTTGCAAGAAGTTACTGTGGCCGAGTTCAAAAAGGGTGTTGCCTGTGTTCTCATCTAGGATTTTGATGGAATCTTGTCTCACATTTAGATCTTTCATCCATTTTGAGTTTATCTTTGTATATGGTGTAAGAGAATGGTCTAGTTTCATTCTTTTGCATGTGGATGTCCAATTTTCCCAGCACCATTTATTGAAGAGACTGTCTTTTTTCCAGTGGATAGTCTTTCCTTCTTCATTTTTTAAAGATTTTTATTTATTTATTCATGAGAGACACAGAGAGAGTAAGAGGCACAGACAGAGGCAGAGGGAAAGGCAGGCTCCATGCAAGGTGCCTGACCTGGGATTCGATTCTGGGTCTCCAGGATCATGCCCAGGGCTGAAGGTGGCGCTAAACTGCTGAGCCACCCGGGCTGCCCCAATACTAGACTCTTTAAAGAAAGGGAACATCTGGGATCCCTGGGTGGCGCAGTGGTTTGGCGCCTGCCTTTGGCCCAGGGCGCGATCCTGGAGACCCGGGATCGAATCCCACATCGGGCTTCCGGTGCATGGAGCCTGCTTCTCCCTCTGCCTGTGTCTCTGCCTCTCTCTGACTATCATAAATAAATAAAAAAAAAATTTAAAAAAATTTAAAAAAAAAAGAAAGGGAACATCTAAAAAAAAAAGAAAGGGAACATCTATTGCTGATTGTGAAAATTTTTGTTTTAATTTCACACATAGAAAAAGACTGGAAAGATATATGTTAAATGTTGAAGAAAACAGTTATCTCAAATGACAGGATCATTAATGACCTTTTTTGAGCTACATGTTCTAAATTTTCCACAAGAAACATTCTTTTTTAATTGGGAAAAAACAATGAAACTATTTTTTAAATTTAATATTCCCTGAGGACTGTTTGTCTTCCTTATAACATCAAAGAATAACTATATTCCCAGCTTCTCCTAATGTAGCCATTTATAGTTTTGCATTTGTAAATGTGTTTAATATTTTTAATCCTTTTGGCTTCTGGTTAGTAACTTGTCCTATTATTTTTTTGAAATAATTATACATTCAATGAAGCTTGCAAGAAATGTATAGGGAAGTCCCATGCACTATTTCCTCAGCAGTCCCCAATGTAGCAAAACCGAGAAACTGACATTGGTACAATCCTCAGTGCTTATTCCTCAGATTTCACCAGTTATACATGTACTCATTTGTGTCTGGGTGTTGTGTGTGGGTGGGTGTTTAGCTCTATATAATTCTATCAGATGTATACCCTTGCATAACCACCACCACAATCAAGATCTAGAACATTTTCATCACAACAAGGATCTCTCATGTTGCACTCTTTAAAAAGATTTTATTTATTTGAAAGAGAGAGAGAGAGAGCATGAGCAGGGTGAAGAGCAGAGGGAAAGGGACAAGCAGACTCCATGTGGAGCATGGAGTCCAACATGGGGCTTGAGCCCACGACCCTGATTTCAGCTCAAGAGTCAGATGCTTAACCAATTGAGCCACCCAGGCTCTCGTTTGTTGCACTTCCATTGCCACACTTACCTGCCTCCCTCTCCAATTCCTCAACCCTTATTAACCACTGAACATCCTTCCATCACTATAATTCTGTCATTTCAAGAATGAGATTAGCCTTTTCAACTCAGAGTAATTGTCTAGAGATTTTATCCAGGTTGTCACAAGTGTCAATTGTTCCTTTTTCTTGCTAAGTAGTATTCCTAGGTATGAATATACCAGTTTGTGTAACCATTCATTTCCTGAAGGACATCTGGGTTATTTCCAGTTTTGGGCTATTACAAATAAAATTTCTATGGACATTTATATTTTACTGTTTTTTTTAATTCTTAATTTGTGGGACACCTGAGTGGCTCAGTGGTTGAGCGTCT